TCATCAAAATCCTTGGGTGTGGCTGGTGACTAGTTCTGGTGAATGTGCTTTGAGCGAAATGATCTACGTCACTTTCTGAGTGAGGCTCTTAAAAGTGCTTACTTAATCCCCTACTTCTCTCCCGCCAGAAACCATGTGCTGAGAGGACAGAACTACCCGACAGAGGCAGGTGGAACCCTCTAGTCACCCCAGGAAAGCAGGCTCCTCTCCCAAGCGTTTTGAAACCTAAATGGACTTGGTGCGAGCAAGTGAGCAAGCGAGCAAGCGAGCGAGTTTTACACACAGGCATTGAGATTTCCATTCCTGTGTGTTGTTACAATGCTCTGGTTGGAGGTGTCCCCTCCATAATCGTGTGGTAGAAAACTGATCCTCACATTCATCAGCTAATGGTAAGTAGAGGCTGGGCTTTGGGGAAGTGGTTGGGATTTGATGAGGTAGTAATGGTGAGGCTCTCGTGATATTAGTGTCTTTATAAGGAGATGAGAGACCTGAGCTTGCTCTTCTCGTCACGTGACACCGTCTGCCCCGCTCTGAAGGAGGAAGCCCCCCCCCACACACACACACACTAGCGGCTGCACAGATGTCCCCACCACGCTTTCGGAATTCCAGACCTAATTTAGAACCTCCAGAACCACAAACCAAACACATTTCCATTCTTTATAAATTACCCAATATCAGTCATTCTGTTATGGCAATAGAAATTGAACACCGATATTGTTCAGTCCTTTACTAGCATCTCTCGGAGGGAGACGAAAAGTCATTTGAGTGAGAAGCTAAGTAAACTATACTGTTTGTGGAGACCACTTGTTCAGGTCCTGAAACATCAGACTGGGAAGTGAATGAGAGCAGTAGTGAGTATGAGGCTGCCCTGCCCCCGTCTTGGTAATGGGGTAGAAGGATGGGGTATCAAGACACTTCAGTAATTGTTACTTAAAACAAGACTTAGACACTGTTGAAAAGTAAGTTGGTCTAATACTTTTAGAAGACAATTTTGTCAACATATATGGATAATTAAACTACATATTTTCCGGGGGGCTAAAGAGATGGTATAGAAGTTAATAATGGATATTGCTTACAGTGGATATGGATTTGCTTCCCAGCACCCACATGGTGGCTCACAGTTATCTGTAATTCCAGTTTCAGGGGATCTGATGCTTTCTTCTGGCCTCCACAGCACCTACACACATGTGGCACATGAACAGACAAGCAGACACACACACACACACACACACACACACACACAAATAAGAATAAATAAATCTTTAGGGAGCTAGAGAGATGCCTCAGCAGATAAGAGCACTGGCTGCTTTTCCAGAGGACTCAGTTCTGATTCCCAGCACCTACACAGTGACTCCTCATGGGTGTATAATAACCTCTTCTGGGGGTACCAGTATGAATGTGGTACACAGACATACATGCAGGCAAAACATCAACACATGTATAATAATAAAATAATAATTTCAAATAGTTACAAATTATCCAGGTATGGTGGCACATGCCTTTAATCCCAGCACTTGGGAGGCAGAAGCAGGTGGCTCTTTGTGAGTTTGGAGCTGGCTTGGTTCGTATAGTGAGTTCCAGGACAGCCAGAGCTACATAGTGAGACTCTGTCTCAAAAACAAAACAAAACAAAACAAAACAAAACAAAACAAAACAAAACAAAACAAAACAAAACAAAACAAAAAAGCCAAGCAACAAAGAACCCTAAAAACTACACAGGTATTTTTTGTTCCAGCAATGTCATTCCTAGAAATGGGGCCTCCAGAAATAGTTACATAAGTATTAAAATTAACATATGCAAATGTAACTATTACAAACTTGTAATTACTATAAATACTCAGTAATAGGTAATTATCCAAAGAATAAGTCATTTCATTTGTCCCTTAGTGTATACGCAGATTTAATGGTGAGGACTGATTTATGCGTGGTAGAGAGTGATGGTCACTCCGAAAGGTAGCTTCTAAGATGGTCCCCAATGTCCCCGTCTTCCGGTTTTCATGCCATTGTGTCATGTCCACTTCTTTAGTATGGGCTAGACCTATTGGCTGGCTTTAACGCATAGACATGAGACAAGAAAGGGGACGCCATCTCCTGTCTCCATAAGGCCTGACTGTTTTACTCATTGCTCCCAGTGATTATGTTTTACTGGACTCGGGCTTTGGGGTGCAAGTTCTCAGGAGGCAGTGAGTGTCCTTTGCCAATCTCTTCCTGGTGCTCTCCTTTGGCTTCTTTTACTTCAGTCATTCTGAAGTGTCTTCCTCACTTTTCTTCATTGTTTCTTTGGGGCCACATGTCAGCATTTTAGGTTCCTTAGGGTAGCAATACACTGAATTGTAGGTCCTTTGGTTCTGGGTTACTTACCTTTTTTGGTGAATGGCTTTCTTACCACATACTGCTATTCATTTTATTTTAAATATTTTTACACTAATTTGTGTGTGTGTGTGTGTGTGTGTGTGTGTGTGTGTGTGTGTGTGTCCGCCCCTGTGCATGTACCATGGCACATATGTGGAGGTCAATGAACAACTTACAGGAGTCTATTCTCTCCTTCCACCATGTTTGTTGAACTCATGTCACCAGAAGTCTCAGTTACTCTTCTATTGATGTGAAAAGATATCATGACCAAGACAACTTGTAGAAAAAATAGTTTATTGGGGGCTTACATTTTCAGAGAGTGAGAGTCCTTGACCATCATGATGGCAGGCAGGCAGGCATGGCACTAGAGCAATGCCTGAGAGCTCAGATCTTGATCTACAAGCACCAGACAAATAGAACAACACACTGGGAATAGTGAGAGTGTTTTGAAACCTCAAATCCCACCCGAGTGATACACATTCTACAATAAGACCACACCTCCTAATCCTTCCCAAATAGTTCCACCAATGGGGAACAAGCATTCAAATATAGGAGTCTCTGGGGGCCATTTTCATTCAAACTACCACATCAGTTGAGTGCAAGCACCCTTACTCACTGAGCCATCTTGGCAGCCTATTGTTATTATTATTGTTGTTGTTATTATTATTTAGTGCTTATGTGTGTGCATGTTCATGCATGATGTGTTCATGTAGGCATGCACGCCACAGTGTCAATGTGGATGTCAGAAAACAACTTCGTGTGGGGTCAGTTCTCTCTTTCCACCTTTACTTGGGTTCCAGAGTTTGAACTCAGGTTGCCGGGCTTGTGCAACAGGCATCCTTTACTGCCGAGCCATCTTGACAGCTTTTGTATGGTCTTCTCCAGAGAGGCTGAAGCTTGCAGGCTGTGTTAGCTTTTCTGGACCCCAGGTGATGAGGCACAGCACTGTATTATGTTAGTGTAGGGTTATCCTCCCCACATACCCCTTATTTTTCAATAAGAACACTCCAAACGGTATTCACAATGCATACCCAAAGAGACCGGAGCTTTCTTTCTCCAGGTCTCCTTGGTCTAAACAGGAGAACAGTTCCTTACTCAATAACAGAATAACTTGCTTTCTGAGAAATGCTCATTTGCCTCACCACTGATTTGGACCATCCTTAAATGAGAAGAACATCACTAGCAATTTCTATGGCCATACACTTCAGTATTAGTGACTTTTCTCATCACTGTGACCAAGCACCTGGTTAAGAATCAGCTTACAGAAAGAAGCATTTACTTTGATTTATAGTTTGAGGGGGGTATAGTCCACCATGGTGGGAAAGTCAGGGCAGCAGGAGTGTGAGGAAGCAGAATCAGGCGTTGGCTGCACATCTGGCCCTGGCACCCATGCAGCAGAGAGAGTACAGGAAGTGGGGCCAGGCAATAAAGCCTCAAGGTCTGCTCCCAGTGATCCACCCTGTTCCAGTGAGGATCCACCTCCTGAAGGTTCCGTAGCCTCCCCAGACAGCATCAGAGCTGGGGGCCAAGTGTTCAAACACATGAACCTAGGGGGGACATTTCACAGCTTCTCATGAAGGTCTGGGGTTTGCTTTCATGGTCCTGAACGAGTTTCTGACAGTCAGTGCCTAGGAAGGACACTTCATCTTGATATAGCCAGATGCCTAGGAAGCAGCACCAATAAGGTGGGTGAGATATTTGAGGATGGTTCCAGGAAGATGCTCTCAGTCTTAGAGTTCACATCCTCTTAGGAAGCCACTTGCCATTATATGAGCAATCCCGTGAAGAAGACCACACCCTGTCACCTTGCCTGGCATATAAAAGACACTCAAAGAGTAATTTTTGAGTATTTATGTTCACGTGTTCAATAAATATTTAAGAGACACCTGTACCCTGGGAGGTTTTTTTTTTCCCCTGTAGCTGGTGACTAGGAGACACAGGCTTCCCTTCAAAAAGGGTGTGGTGCAGGGAGGGTCTGAGAGGGCCGTGAGAGCATCTCTGGGGAGAGTTCTTAGGGTGTCTGAGGAAATGTGGCTGGAGTGGAAGAATAGAAATGGCGAATGGTAACATGTGGGCAGGGGTTGCACAGAGTCACACCTTTGGTGACGTCATTGACAGGGCTCATCAACGACATGAAAAGTAGAAGGGAGAGCATGTAAAGAAGGATGGCCACCTTCCTGTCTTTATGGTGCTGTTTACTGAGCTTAGAACCCGGGAAAATAACTGGGTGCATGGGAAAGATGAAGAGCCAATTTCACGCACATGGGTGGTACCTGGGGTGGAGCCCAGGACCTCACAAAGGCTAGGCAAATGGTCTGCCACTGGGACACAGAAGAGCTAACTTTGAGATATCTCAAAAAATATTCTGGAAGAGTTGCCCATGGAGTGGTTAGGTCGTGGGTGTGGCAGGCAAAAGTGAGTTCTGGGGTGAAGGCAATAAGCCAGGAATGGGAATGAGGAGGACATGGATGTTTTATAAATCTGTCTAAGATTGCAGAGAAGGGAATAGAGACAAGAACCAGGGCCTGGGATCTGAGTGAATCTGTGGAAATGTGCTTAGAAATATGCATAGCATTATGTGTGAGACGGAACACTCAGTCCTTATAAATTCTCATGATCATTGTTTTTGTTGTTAATAGAGACAGAGATGAAAGCAGAACATGGTGGTGTTCCAGAAGCCAAGAGAAGGGTGTGCTGAAAAAGAGCTGGCCAAATGCCACCGAGTTAGAAGCCGGACATGTCACAGTAGAAACAATTATTCAGAGAGTGGCCACTTAGGGGCTCCTCTGGAGGTATAACACGATTCCTGACCCACTAACAGCCTTTGCTGTTCAGAGTACTCATAGGAGACCACTAAGTTTGGATGCGTTTTCAGCTGTAACTGAACCAACCAGCTGTGAGTTTGTGTTCTCTCTCTCTCTCTCTCTCTCTCTCTCTCTCTCTCTCTCTTTGAGGGGCTCAGGAAGACTTGAGGGTGTATGCAGGAACAGGGTGGTGCCAATGAGGGCTTGGACAATGGGCTGGTGGTGCTTCACTTGTTAACAAGCAGACCTCACCGTGAAAGGCCTAAGATAATCAGGACATGCAGGCCTAGACATCAGAGACTGAATGGATGTTGTTTGCGTGTCTATGTGCCTGTTTCCAGATGTGTGGGCACAATGAGAGAGCAAAGGTAGCCTGACACAACAGAGGCCATGGTTTAGGTATGCACATCCCCACTAGTCCATAGATGGAGGTACTTGAGCCCCAAAGCAGAAATGCTATAAGATGTGGAACTTTCAGGAGGAAGGCCTCAGTGTGAAGGAGGTGCTCAGCTTCTCAGTGGAGATGCTAGCCTTGGAGGAAATGAATGTAGTTCTCCTCATGGACTCCTTACTTGTGAGGGAAATGTTCCTGGCTCCTCCCTGCTCTCTGACTTCCTCTCTCACTGCTGAGACCTCTCTCCCTCTTGCTCCTGATATTGTGTTGACAACAGAGCTAGAAACATTGTTTGGATTTTCAGCTTCCAAAGATGTGAGCTAAATAAACCTTTTATGATTACTTTTTTTTTTTTTTTTGAAGTATCAGCTTCCAGCATTTCCCTGCAGCAATGGACAACTGTCTGGTATAGGAAGCAACAGAAGGAAGACTCACTGCTCAAGTTTTCCCGACGTTTGCTCAGTTCGAGGCCATCACCACTGCATTTGGAGCAAGCAAGGCATCTCAAAAGTTCAGGACTCCTTTGTTGTGAGGGATAGACAGCAGGAGACGACCACATGCTGCTTCCCTGACATAAAGTGATTTGGGGACTTCTTGGATGTTGCGTATTGCATTGATGGCTTCACTTTAAGAAAACTCAATAATGAAAAAAATAAATGGAAATCTAAATTCTTGAGATAGCCTGGCGGTGGTGGCTCACGCTTTAATCCCAGCACTCAGGAGGCAGAGGCAGGCGGATCTTTGCGAGTTCCAGGCCAGCCTGGTCTACAGAGATCCAGGAAAGGTGCAAAGCTACACAGAGAAACCCTACCTTGAAAAACCAACCAACCAAACAAACAAAAAAAATCTTGAAATAAATATAAAATGGAAATGCGAGGGCAAAACTCCGGTTTTGAATTTCGTTTATGCCCTTCATCTGTTCCTCTCCACAAATCCGTATTGTTTCTCTACTGAATAGTTTATCTTGAGGCTCTGAAAAAAAGCTCTCCCACAACCCCAGTGATAATTTCCATTTGAAAAGGTTTCCCAGCAACTTGTTAGGGATGTGCCTCTTCCACCGTCAGAAATGTGTCCACAGATGTTAGTTCAAGTGTAAATTGTACCAACCAGAGAGAGTCAAACTGAGGCATTTGCCTCTCTGAATTCATCTACGGCCACTTCTGATGGCTCACATTTTGACAGTTTTATTTTAATAGGTAACTATGTCTTTTAAATCTCGGGATAACTTTTTCCCCAGGTACTTAGTAGGGAGATGATATCGACAGGAAGTTGGGTGCTTCCAATGTGAGTGAACTTCACCAGGCCAGTGATCAGAACCTTCCTAGAATTCTCCTGGCATTCTGAGGAGTGCGATGCTGACAACTTTGGGCCCTGCCCAGAAGAGAAAATAAATTCAGAGAACTTGCATTTGTTTCAAGTGGCCAAGGCCCCTTACACTCTCCTCCTGTCCCAGTAGAGTAGAATCCTAGTGAAAGATCCCCAGTCTCTTGGAGAAACACCAGGCATGCTATGGTCCATGCCACTGTCCCCAGGCTCGTGTCCTGATAGACCCATAAGTCTCAAGCAGCCCCACAAGGCCAGTGGAACACTCCTCTTTTCTAAGTCTGAAGAAGGTGAGATCTTCTCTAGTCAACTCTTTATTTGTGTATGATCCAAAAATTAGGAGGTCAAAAACATTCTTTTCAATTATTTTTGAAAGTCTCAATTTTAATGCCTAAACTGCTGGACTTCCAGCTGGTTTCACAGACACACCTCCCTTTTGGCATTTCTGGCAAACTGTAAGCCATTCAGACGCTTCAGTAGGAGGAGGAGGGGGTAGGGAGCACACAGTTCTTTCTTCTTGGGAGCTGCATGTAGTTTTGGCTCTTCGAGTGTCTCCTAGCACCATTGCTTAGCACACCATGACCACAAATAGGCCTCTTCCTGGTGGAGTGCTGTTAGCATGCTCCCGGAGAGACGCATTGTTTGAAGCAAATGTCTTCACTCCTACAGCCGTACTAAGAACAGACTTTTACCCACTTCTACCTGTGTGGCCACCCAGACTGTAAGTGTCTTGGAGCTTTGGAGCTCATAATTCAAGGAAACCACTCACATGCACAGATGAGAAATACATTCCTAGTTCATGTGTCACTGAGGGCTGGGCTGAAGAAATGGCAGCAAACAGCCCAAGGAAGGAGCAAGAAAAACCACAGCTTTGCCTACAAAAATTGGCCCTTTGAGGCCAAGTGTGCTAGTGCTTTGGGCAGGTTATATGCTCAAATTTGCTAAATCGTTTATAGGAATCGCGTTTAAAAACAGAAATCTTTCCTTGAGTGTCTGCGTTCTGAATTAGGAACATTTCGATTTCAACTTGGTTAGACTGTTTTGGTATAGCAAGGTGCAGGTGTCGGGAAAGGAAAAGCAGACTTCTGAGGAAATCCATTGCCTCACAGAGCAGCGGGCTCAAACTTTCAGTTATCCAATGCCTTCCAGTGGGTGTGGAGAGGACTTGAAGAATAGTATCTTCTCAGGGAAATGAGACCAAAATAGTCTGTTACTTTGATTTGTCAAAATAAGCAAAGAACCTTTACGTCATAGTTTCTTTTGGGGCCAAGGGCAGGTGAAGTTGTTGCCTATGGACCCTTTCACTGGAACATGAGTGGCAGGTGTGTTCACAGCCAGTCAGGAGGGAAAGCCCTGAAATCCAACTAGGAAAGCATAAAAAGCTCATCAGCCACTCAGATCCAGGCAGGAAAAAAAAGTAGAGTCTGGTGGACAATAGCCTAGGCAAAAAGGAGCCTTTTGGGCATAGTAGGGAGGAATCTAGGCATTAGAGCATCAGATATTGGCCCTTGAGTGAAGGCTAATTTTTCTTGATGCTTTTAGGATTTCTGCTTTGGTATAGATGGCCCAGAGTTTACAGGTACTGTTTCCTGGCTAAAAGAAGATGAGAGATCCATGGGTGATAATAGTGACAACAGAGATGTTTGCTGTGTTTACAATTCTACACACTTGAACATAGTCCTCTTCAGCGACATTCATCCTGATATTTTATTATTTTTATTTTATTTACTTTGCAGACAGAGAAAACAGGATAGGTGACCTATAAAATGAATGGTGGAGCTGGGATTTGAACCCAGGCAGTCTGACCCAGCATCCCAACTCATAACTCTTTTTCTTGGCCTCTTTTGTTCAACATACACGTTAAGTGGTCTTTCTGATGAACCCACTACGGAGCCCACTATGAACCCACTAAGTCAACTTGGAATCATACACTTCAAATATCAGTGTTCGGTCAGCCAAAATCCCTAGCAGCTGAGAAGCATGAAAACAGTGAGCCCTTGTGACTTGGTGTAGAAATGGTTTCATTGTTACTTGCCTCAAGAATGTGTTATTTGAACTTTTGTGCTCTTTCAAAGTGTTCTCTTAAGATGGTGTAGGAAAAGGAGACCTCTGGGAATCTTTTCAGACATTTGACTTTTGTGTGGTTAGTCCTTCAGGGTTGGTAGCGAGTGACCATCTCAAAAGCTACCACATACTAAGCACTGAGGCAGTGGGCTCTGAGTTCACATTCTCCTGCATCATTTCCCTAGATTTTGACTATGTCTATAAGACAGGTCATATAGTCCATTTGAGATATGAGGAAATGGATATGGGAATTAAATAACTTGCTTACTCAATGTCCTCAAACAAGAAAACCATAAACTAGATTTGCAGATGTGTCCTTATTCTTCAACACCACAATAGATATGTTAGCACTTAGTGACAGTTGTCTGGATAAGAATGTGAACATTGCTTCATCGATTTCTCAATCCAAGTCAAAGAATTGTGATGCCTTTGTAGTGTATCGACTTGGCTAGGCTGGGCTGAAAATTAATAATTTTGTATGTGTCTGGTGACAGGAGAATCACAAAGAAAATTCTTGGGCCAGAGGAGAAGCTACCACCATATTGTAGCTCACGTATGGTTACCGAACCTCTGAGCCTCCTTGTGGTGGGGGCCAAACAGTGGCCAAGCCTATCATTGCTCTCTTTCTCCTGGGTTCTCCTTCATTTTTCCCACTTCTGGGTCAGGTGAGTTGAGTTTTGGGAGAAAGGGCCCTGCTTTTTGTCAAGCACCAAGATTAGTCACGGGTTTGGTTCTACACTTGTGCAATTCCAGCTGTGCCCCTGCTTCTGGCCTGCACTTAATCTCTATTACATCCATTTCCTCTCTGCATTGCCTGTCCCAAGGACTCCAAACTCTAGCATCAGACACAGTGATGAAAGCTTTACAAAGACTGCTCCTCCAGCTTCCACAAGACCAAGTCCTTAGAGAAAATTATTGACTAACATGATCCTCCGATCACCTCTACTTTCTCTGCATGGCCCATACCCAGTGTCTTAGTTAGGGTTTCTATTACTGCAATAAAGTGCCATGACCAAAAGCAACTTGGGGAGGAAAGTGTTTATTACATCTTTCAGATTATATGTTTATCACTGAGGAAAGCCAGGGTAGGAACTCGGGTCAGGAACCTGGAAGCAGCAGTTAATGCACAGGCCATGGAGGAATGTTGCTGACTGGCTTGCTCAGCTTGCTATATTATAGCACCCATGACCACCAGCCCAGCAGTGGCACCACCCACAGTGAGCTGCCCCCTCCACCGACCATTAGTCAAGAAAATGCACTTCAGGCTTCCCACAGGCCAATATAGTAGAGGCATTTTCTCAAGGGAGAGTCCTTCTTCAAAAATGTCTAGCTTGTTTCCTAATTTCCTAAAGAAAGTCATATCTTTGTGGGATTAGAACAATGGTGATGATGACCAACATTTAGATTGTTACCACAATGTACTATGAACAGCTCCAAGCACTTGCCACATATCAACTCATTAAACTACCACAAGAACTTATGAGTAGAACTGCTGTTTCAAATAAAGAAACATAGAGAAGTTAACTTGACCAAGATCACACCACTAGTAAAATGATGTAAAAATCTGAATCCAGAACGTGTGTGTCTAGAAACTGCTCTTTGAAATTTTGCCATATCTCTATCTTGAAAACACACATAGACGTGGATACATATGCACACTCTCCGAAAGCCTAGGTGGCGATCATATAGGAAACAGCCATAACAAGGGTGAATGATGTCATTGCCTGCACTTCCCTGTCATGTGGCAGCACCTACTGTCCTCACTGCTGACTGGAGTTGCCAACTGTGTTTCAGAAGTGAGAGCTGTGAGTAGGTGAAAGGTGGGCAGAACCACAGGGAAGCTTTGGTGTCAAAAGAATGAAAAGATGAAGAAAGGTGGGGTACTTTGAATGGCTTCCAGGCTTAAACCACTTCAATGGTCATAAAATGATAACAATTCTCCTCGAAGTTCATGAAATGGAAACGGCAATGACTGAAACAAGGACCACTAGATGTATTACCTAGCTCTAGCAAGGATATTTTAGGAATGGGTTAACTCTCCAAGTTGGTCATAATTCTCTATCACACATGATGACTATGAGCAAGACAGAGTCTGGCTCATGTTGTCCAGTGACTCTCATTTGTTAGAAGTGACAGGGTTCTTTACTGCTGTTATAAAGCTCATCTGTTATAAGTGCATGTCATTTCTCAGTATCAGGTCACACCCGAAAGCCAGGAATCTCCCCGCTTAGCACAGGTAGACTACACTTGGGAGTGTTGATGACTTAAGCAAAAAGTTTTCCACCTCAG